TGAAATGATGAGATTGCAGCTCATTTTGTTAGGAAGAATGCTGGGATATACTGAGAGAGGTGGCACTCTTGACAGTTGGCCACTCATAGTTCCATCTAAGCCCGTGTTGCTCCCCACAGTGTACATGACACCTTGTCAACTCTCTGGCCTGTGTGTAGATGCCTATGCACTTTGGGGATTAAATTGGACACAGGATGTGGAATTACACTAGAGTTTCAAGCAGCTGGTCATACTATCCAAATTATCTTTTCAGTAAGTTTATTCTCTGCATCCAAACCATAACCAAATGCACTGAAGATAGCATATTTTTTAAACATTAATACAAGTATTTCTATGAATTAAACCTTTTTGTAGAAATTATAGCCATATATTTATTATATTTTATATTTAAATAAAGTTAAATTCATAACTATTTGTTCCCTTTGGTTTACAGTGGAATGAGTGACATACAGAGGAGTTGTTTGATTTTCCTTGAGGGTTCACAGTTAAATTGATGTATATCATCCCAAGAAATAAAAACAGTATGGTTAAGACCAAACAAATAAAAAGTTAAGAACAATATTATTATTTATTAACAACAAGAAAATCAGCTATCTTCATGAAAAGGTATTCAGAGACATTTTTGTTTGTTTGTTTGCTTGTTTTTTACATAGCATTTTTGGCTTAGTACATTAATGTGGGTATTTATTGGCACTTGGAATTTATCATTGCCATTCTGAAAGTTTGTAAGTTTGTTGCTGTTTTGTTTTGTTTTTGAGATAAAGGAAGTTAAATATAGAAAACAAATACAGGGCAAATACAAAAATCAAAAATCTATTTCTTTACTTCCAGTCTTGAAAGGGAAACTTGAAAAACTTTAGGCCTTATAAAACGTTTTCCTGAAGCTAATGATAATAATACATGAACCGCTTATATTTAATGGTACTCTGCTTTCTCAGAGGAAGCACAGATGGTTTTGCATATTCTCTGTTGATCTGATTTCTTTTCACTAGAAAATGGAGTAGGGAAGTAGGTCAATGCAGAGCTGAAAGCAACGTGTGAGCACTTGTGGCCTGCCCAACAGCGTTTACTTTTCATCTTGACTCTGAGGCTCCTGCCAGCAGCGTCCCCTGGCCTCATGCTCCCTGACTTGTGCTCTCGGGCCTCTTGGCACCTATCCTAGAGGAATCCTAGAGTAGGTTCTTTGCCAAGGGCAAAACAAAATTGGTATTCAGGGTCTTGTTGAAGTTTTCAGGCAGGATGCCCACAGACGTATATGTCTGTGTCCAAGGACTGCAAGTGGTCACAGAGTCCTTGTGAAACACTACTACCTCAGGGTTTCTCCAAAGAAGTCTAGTTCATGGAACAGGAAAGGAAGACAATTAGCTTTTAAATCTTACTGTATCCAGATTTTACAGTATGGTTCCTTACAGTTATTGCATTGGGGAAAGGCACCTTACTTCTGTGGCTCTCATTTGCTTCATTTCTAAGATGAGGATGATTCCAACTGCAGCTAGTATGATATTGTGTGTCAGATACTTGGCAAAGGTTTCTGGCAGAGGGTAGGCCCTCTTAATATTATTTGGATTTGAATCTAAAGTTGTATACTATAAAAGGCACTACACTGTGTTCCGTGGAAGGGAGGGAATGAAGAAAAGCAATCTAGTCCTAGGTTTCCAAGTCTTATCTGACAAAGCTCTTAGTAGAGGGTTTTACTGAGATGGGGTATAAGTATCTATAATTCTCTATGATGAGTACCTTGGCTACCTATGGCCCCTGGCAAGAATCCCCAATAACATAACTTAAACCCCAATTAACACATGATCTTTGCATAACTCAGAAGTCTCTATACCTACAGCCACATGAGAATGGAAGTCACCAGATTGCCAAAAGAAATATTCTTCAGTGAAGAGAAAAGATTCAGAGTCCAAAGGAAAAGTTAAGATGTATTAAAACAAAGTTAATAAAATTGTTATATATCAAGATGCAGTAACAATAAGAGAGTCACTGTCATATGAATAGCCCAAGTACTTTTTTTTTTTGATTGGGAGTGTTTGGTGGTGGTTTTAGTTTATACTAGATATGACTGGATTTCTTTACAGACAGAATTGTTGTACACTTCCCAAATGATAATTTGCAAAATGGCAGACAGGAAAAGATGTAAAAAGGATACATGGCAGCTGCTCATCCAAGTGACTCCGTAGAAATAGAGAAGAAAGGCTCTGGACAGATGGTGATCTTCTTATGTGATAATTGAGAAGATGTGGGTTTCAAAGCAGCCTTAAAGGCTCATAAGCTGGGTGCTTTGCAGCATGTTTCCCACAGATAGAGGAGTGGTATTTGTAAATTTTTCCAGCATTACTGTTTTTATTTGGGAGTGTGGTTCAAGAAACCCAGTGGGACTTGCTTTGGATTTTGTCTTTGATTTGTTTTGAGCTGTCTGTCCTCCACTCAGGCCATACTGTACAGGATGTTAGCACATGGTGGGTTAGAAAGAGTTAGCACTTTGGGGCCCAGAGGCATAGATTTGAATTCTGTAGTTCATAATCTGGTATCCTTAGGAAGAGAACTTATTTCTCAGATGTTGGTATTTGAAAAACACTACTTTTGCATAGGGTTGTCTTGAAGATTAAAAGTGTAAAGCATTACCACATGTGGTTGTTCACCCATGTAATCCTAGCTCTTGCTAAGCAGAGGCAAGCAGATCTCTGTGAGTTCAAGGTCAGACTGTTCTACATGCCAGTTCAGGCCAGGCAGCTAGGTCTACAAAGTAAGACTGAAAAAAACAAACAAACAAATAAACAAACAAACCAAAAGAACCAAAACCCAATTAAAATTAAGTAAAGCACATAGCATAGTATTGGTATATACAAGATACTATTATTACTAAGGATATGAGTCATATTTGGATTTACACCAAAAGAATTTTTAATTAAGAAATAGATTTATGGTGGTCACTTGTGGTAATTGTGTAAAGGAAAAGCATATGTAGTGAGAATAGCAAGACATTTATAGAACACTCTGGGCCATGTGCTTCTATGAGGTAGTATCTGTCATTGTCATTTTATAAATGAAGGATCTGAAGCTCAAAGTAGCACAGTTAGAAAGCGATGCTGTCAGGATACAGCGCCCATGTGTTTGCCACTGCTCTGCATGCCCTTTGAATGGTCTAAGGTGTCTAGGAGGGACAGCATGTCTCAGGAGACATGTGAAGTAAGCATTTTCTGCTGTATAAAGACCAAAGGATGAGCGTTCATCCCTGTGTGCAGCTTTCCTCCTCCTTTGACTCCATTACTTCCTGTTACTTGGGAAAGCATAAAAGGACTACTCATTTGCGATCTGAGCAGTAAGTAGTGCTTGCTCCAGAACTCTAAGGTTAGATAGTAGACTGCTATACTGCGGCCTGACTCTTGCACTGTATTAGTCATTGTCCAACTTCCGCTTTCTGTTAGCTTAGACCTATGGCAATACCTTCCTCTTCTCATCTAGCTGTTTGTCAGCAGCAGTAACCACGAGTCCTTCCTGTCCCAAAATCTTGCCACACGCTCATCGTTCAAAGTGCTATAAACATGGTATCCTTGCTGCAAAGAGCTACACCACCTCTACCCTGTGCCGTCACAGCTCCACAGGCTAAATTGTTACTGAATTCTCTAAGATAGGTGCATGAGAGCAAGACAAATGGTCTAGGCTAATATAAACAAGCATTGTATTACACCTGAATTGTTGAAAAAAGATTTTGTATTTAATATTTGATTCAGTAGAACATTTTTATAACAATAAGTTTGATTAGAGAGTGCTCTGAAATGTTTCACGTTAGACAGTATAATTGTTTATGTCAATGATAAAAGACAGTGGTCACACGGGAGGTGGTAGAGGTGTAGAGATCAAGGTGGCAACACCTAGTGAAGGGGGGCTGGCATCATTGCCTCTCTGAGGGTTTTTTTTTTTCATTCTACAAGCTCTTAGCCTTTGGGGGGCGGTGACTGTGTGAATGTGACAAAGTTTTCACTGTGTAGATTAGGTTGTCCTCAAGTTCAGGAACTGCCTTCCATAGCTCCCAGTTTTTCCTTTGCTGAAGATTGCAGGCATGCTTCAGGAGAAGCAGGACCTCTCAGATCTCGTGAGTTTAGACCTGCAGCAGCTTTAAGACGTTCTTTTTGTTTGTGTATTTCTTGCAACAAAATAAGGAACTATGCTTCAGATCTTTTTCTAGTATATTGTTGGTATTTCTCTGAGACTACAGTGAAATCACACCTGCTTACTGTATTTCCCTTCTGACCTTCTTAAGTAGTGAAGTGGTCTCCTGCAAGGCTGCAGCTACTGGGTTGCTGGCTTTGCACTTGTTTGACTGCTTTGTATTTCCACAGACTGAGGAACTAAACTAAGAAGGGCATCTTCAAAAGCATTTAGCATTCTAAAGAGAGGACTTGGGGTATCCAGTGTATTGGGTGGGGTTTATGAAGAAAAGGTATTTGGCTTGCTTTATTATTGTCAGAGGGGTAGCCCAAGGTAAAAAGAAATGACTTCTTCATCATATTAGGCTTGCGACAAGTATTCTCTCCCAAATTTGGGTCTGGGAAATGATAGGAAGAAAGATATAAAAGCTTATGCTTTAGTTCTTTGTATCCGCCCCAAATATTTACTGAAGCTAGGAGAAGAAAAAACAGATCTTTTCTTCTCTTTCCCAAACGTGTGATTGTTTAGAACTTAAGTGCAACATCTGGAAGTCAGATATACAGAGAGCAATTTATGGAGTGTGAAAGATTTGAAATATTCAGTGTCCTTTAGTGGGAACTCAACTTTCTGTGCTGCATTTTTTCCCAACACAAAGCAAGCAATTCTGAGATCACTTTTGCCTCTCTGAATTAAGCCCTTTGTGCTTGGGTCCTATAAACAATGTGCTTTTTAACGGGGAGCTCCCCCCCCCAAGCTCTGGCCCTTTTCTCCAATGCAAGCAGCCAATCAGCTGCACTGAGCTGCATAGCTGGAGCGCTTTCCATTCTTAGCAGCAACAACATACTAATTTGATGCACACATGGATGCCTCTCGCACTCTGCAAATTCATCACCAGCATCTTGCATTAGTCATCTGATGGACTGCCAAGTGTTTCATTTTCTTTCCATGTGACTTTATTATTACCACCTCTCTTCCAAAACCTCTGAAAAAGGGCGGGGAATGGGGGAGAGGGTGAGAAATCAAGCAGAAATCCAGCTCTGCCTTTCTTTCTCAGGGATAACCAGTGCAGAGCTGATAATGCTGCCAGTTCCTCATGTGTTGATGGCAGCCTTGCCCATTGAGACCTGCACTTAACTTGCAGCTGCCTCCCAAGCCTGGGTTCTGAGATGCTCATGCCCTGGGTGACAGGTGGCCAGGCACTGCCCTGTGCTCCAGAGTCAGTGCTGAACAGAAGCAGCATGCAGTGAAAGCAATGCGCTGCTGCTGAGAAGCAACCTAATGGTGCCTCTGCTTTGTTTTAGTTCATCAAATTTCTACGACTCATTAGGCACTTTCCCCTGTGCTCCTCTTCCTCTTTCCGCCTCTTCATCCCCAACCCCCACTATTTTTTCTTCCTGTCCTTCACCCTGAAGCCCTAACTCTGGCTCCTGGTTCCGTTTTTGACAGTAACGGCACAGCCAACAAGATGAACGGAGCTTTGGATCATTCAGACCAGCCAGACCCAGATGCCATTAAGATGTTTGTCGGACAGATCCCTAGGTCCTGGTCGGAAAAGGAGCTGAAAGAACTTTTTGAGCCTTATGGAGCTGTCTACCAGATCAACGTCCTCCGGGACCGGAGTCAGAACCCTCCCCAGAGTAAAGGTACAGAAAGCATGTGGTGCATGGGGTAGGGGTCACTCAGCTGTCAGGGTGGGTTTACTGACTGGGGTGGGCCCCACTGGGCTGGCTAGAGATCCCAGAACTAGTACACAGGGCAGGAGGGAGGGCAACAAAAAGGAAGGGCGGGCAGGCTGAGAGCAGCTGGTGCTGCCAGCCCTGGTGTTCTGGCTGTGCCTTAGGGCTCCTCCCAGAATCCCCGCCTGCTGGGACAGGTGGGAATCAAGAAGGAGGGCAGGAATGCTGCCCAGCTTTTTATGGTCTCCTGGTTGCTCCTGTGAGGTCACGGTCTAATCAATGTGGTCTCTGGGCGAAGTTGCTGCTGCTTTAAGGAACAGTATGTCTTAGCCTTGTATTTCAGGAGCTAACTCTTTCTATGCTACCTTTTCATGATTTCTCATGTAATTACAAGTCTGTTACATTTTTCCATGCCTGTAGAGACCTTGAAATGATCTGCAAACAGTGGGATGCCACTGGTGGGGTAGAGAAAGGGTTCACCTTGAGGACAGATACCCATTCTTAGGGAGACAGCAGAGATCATTAAAACTGCACTTGCTGGAACAAGGGGTAATGCCCTAGTGACACGAGATAGTTAACACACCTTCAGAAATATTCAAGGCTTACACCCTTACCAGAGGTAAGATTAAAGTGAAAAGTTTGGTGCTTATTACTGCCTCCATTTTAAGATACTGGTGATTGGGTGGAGGTTGTAATTACTGAAATAGAGACCAAGAATTTGGTTGATGCTTCTGTGCTTTCAAATCCTACATTATCAGCTCTGTATAGATCGCATCTAACATGTCTCCTCTACTGGTACCACTTGGTTTCTGTTGCTATTCTAACCTTTTGGCTTTAGTGATTTTGTTCTTTTTTCAGTCTGTCTTCTCAGGGCCTCTCTCCTATGGATAGCACAGTTCCTTTTTCTCTGGGCTTTACTGTTTCTTTCCAGCTTGTTTTATTTTTATGTGCCTCTTGTAAGAGGGAGCTCATCTTCTGGCGTGTATGTGTTCTTTAGTTAGGCACTTGAACCTTACCTTACACTTTTTCTGAGCCTTTTAAAAATAAAGGAATAAGAGAAATTTAAGGCTAATATTCTGTAATTCTGTGAAGTGCTGGGCCATCTTCTGTTCTCTATGGTACTGAGGTCTACTGGGCTTTGGGGAGCTTTTTACAGTTTAAAAGCTCACAGCTTTGTAAATGTAGGCAACCACATTCAGATTTTGTTAATAAAGTAGTCTCCCTCCTAAACATACCATTTAACACTACAGTTGTTTTAAAAAGACTAGAATGTTGTGTCTACATATAATACTGCCTATAATTAGATAAGTAGACTCTAATATCTAAAATCAGTAAAATGTAAAACCACAAAAATCAGAATTATGTTAGAGACCTTTGTGAATATTTGGATGTTTTTCACACAAAGAAATTAAGAGTTCATTGTAATATTTTCAAAGTATCCTACATATGAGAGACAGCAAAATACATGGTTCTGGACTAATTAGTTTTCATTCAAGTCCCTTTTCATTACCTTAAGTAGTACCTACAAGAACCAAGTGACAGCAGCAGGCACACTGTATCCTCACCTAGGAACACGGCACACTGATAGTGGGTTTATTGGCCTTTTTCAAAATGGTGACTGGCAAAATACTCAGAAGCTAATTGTTAGTATGATTCCTGATTGCTTGCTTTATATCTTTTGAGTATGTGTTTCTTACATTGGTCTCAAGACCTTTCTCCCAGTCAAGTATATTCCATGTATGGCTTAGTCATGTGTTCCTTTGAGCAATACCTATCGAGACTGCGTTTGAGACTATATATTTTCTCAACTTCTGTTCACTGGCTCTTCTACGTAATGAGGAAGCTCAAGCTCTTGAAGAGGGAGAGAAACCAAATACAGGAACTCTGAGCTGCATGTGCAACATGTCAGGCCCTCTACTGAGAGCTTTATGTATGTCTCCATTTAGCTTTTACCAAATGTTTAAGGTGTATAGTATCAGTCACATTTTACAGATGAGGAGACCGAGGCTCATAAAAGTTAAGAAATGTAGCCCAGTTCTCCCAGCTAGTAGTATCTTTCTGGATACTATTCATCAGTCTTAGATACTTAACTATTTTGTCTCTTAGTGAGATGAGATTAAAAGGGGAGAAATAAAAGCATCATCTGCTTCATTTCATGGCTTCATTTTCATAGCTAAGTGTTCCCCAAGTGAAAAGACTGGATTCCTCCCTTTAAGAGCACTGACAGTTTCATTTCTGCCTTTGTATTTAGTTTTTATACCCATGGGTTTAGATTGTACATCACTCCAACTCATGGAATCATGGGATAGGAGTTAGAGATGAAATCATTCAAATCTTACCTTTGGAAATTTAGGTCAGTTTCTATTACTGTGAACTAGAAGTCTCAGATCAAACATTGCTTGAAATATATGGGTTGCCAGCCAAGGCTTGAAAGGGTTTCTGTTATACAGATGTCTCTGTTGTAAAGGTATTTGTTGTGATGGGATTTGGACTATAATGACATTGTTCTCAGAGGCAAACAGTTCTTAGCTGCTTACATGTATAAAGCAACAGCTACCATTTTCTTTGCATCACTATCCGTGTATAACATATACAATTTTACCTGTTTATATGTAAAACTGAATCCCAAATTTACATTGATTTTGAATCTGTCAGAGGAATACAGTTACCATGTTTACACAGTATTGATGCCAGACCCTCAGAAACTAGAATTACTGGAGGCTTTGTTTAAATGTGGTTTAAATTACCTAAGTGAGGCTTTTGGATGGCCTGATTCATTGCCTCATTGGCCTTGATGGTTCCAAGGAAAGAGGCAAAAGTTACACTATTATGTAATCTAGGTGGGTTAGAGTTTTCTTTTTCTTTGCATCTTATGTTCTCTTTAATCCCGAGGTAGAAAAGCTTTACCCTGTTTTCATTCTTTAAGAGTTGAAGTGCAAGCTGTCACTTTTTCCCCTCCTCCTCATTCTGTTTCCCTTCTTCTCCTTCTCCTCTTCCTTCTGGTTTCCCTTCTTCTTGTTCTCTTCCTTCTCTTTCTCCTTCTTCTTCATCCTCCTCTTCCTCCTCCTCCTCTTCTGCCTCCTCTTCTTTGCCTCCTCTTCTTCCTCTTCCTCTTTCTTCTTACAGATGCATTATTCAAGCAGTTTCAGAAACTAGGGAATCTAAGTTAACTGTTCTACTCTGTTAGGACTTAAGATGAACATTTTTTAAAATCCCTGTTTTATTTGTGTATATGTATGTTTGCATACAGGCATGTGAGAGCACACAATGTGGAGATCAGAGGATGACCTTAGGTGTCAGGTCTTGCCTCGTACCTTGTTTGATCTCTTTCTTTGTTCCAGTGTGTACCAGACACACTGTTATAATTAGTAAGCCTGTAAGCTGCCTTTGGAAGGCTGTCTTTTTCTCTCATCTCTATATAGGAATGCTACAGTTATGAGTGTGTGCTACTGTACTGGGCTTTCCATGGATCTGCAGAGCTGAACTCAGATTCTCCCATTTGTATAACAAGTGGTTTACTCACAGAACCATCTCCCCAGCCCAAGAGGAGCAGATTTTATTCAGTGGTCATCTGCCATCTCTGCAGATGATGAGAAATACTCCAGAGTGGGTAAAAATATAGCTTTAAAACCAGACATGCATAAATCCAGTTCCTGGCTCTGATTCTCTATAAATATTTCACTGAGCAGTTCAGTTAATCAAATCAAAATAATGGGGACAGTCCTTATAGAATGCTATTAGTGATGTCCATGCTGGAATATGGTAGGAACTTCATAAAAGAGATTGTTATTCTAATTGTTAATCTTCATCATAACTGTCTTTTAAAAACTTAAACTGTAAGAAAAACAATAAAGTAAACACATGGGTCACTACAATAAATGAATGAGATAATAGTAACTAGAAAAGAAGATATACACGCTGAAATTAGAATTCACAGAAGAAATAAATGCATTTTATTTTACAGGCTATAGGAAAATGAAACATCTTTACCAAATTTTAAAACCACTAATGGAATTTACTAAATAGAGTTAATATTAAATGTTGTAAGTGGATGAACTTAAGTTAGCATAATTCAGAAAGGTAGAGAGAGGGGTGGGGAGTGGCAGAGTATACTCTGAGTGCTGAAGTCTCACAGATGTCAAATATGTGAAATGAAATGGTAACAAAGAAAATCACAAGGCTAATAATTTATAAGATAGGGCCAGGTTTTAGAGTCTTTATTCTAGGATTAAAAAATAAAATAAAATTTCTATTTTAGATAAAGTGAGACCTGGAAATGATGCTTCATCAAAAAGCAGCAAAGAAGTGAGTTCAGTGTGTTGTGCTCAGAGAGGGGCACTGCTGAGAATGCAAAAGAAAGGAGTGAGTGGCTGGGCATGGTCAGCAGTGTAAAGAGGGAGAGCTGAGAAACAGAACAGTGGTGATGGAGAGCCCTGCTCTCTCTCTCTCTCTCTCTCTCTCTCTCTCTCTCTCTCTCTCTCTCTCTCTCTCTCTCTCTCTGTGTGTGTGTGTGTGTGTGTGTGTGTGTGTGTGTGTAAGAAATGGGGAGGAAATTCACAATGGTATGAACAGTGAGAACAAGAACATTTGGAAACAGAAAAACAGTTTCAATTTTGAGGTACCCCAGAAGGGTCAAGAAGAATGAGGGACAAGAAAATACATTGAATGTTGTGCTGGCGAAAACAAAGCAGCATTTCAAAAGCAAGGTGGCAGTTTAGGAGAAGAGAAGTTGAGGGGAGGGTGTATGCATGGGGCTGTGAGTATAGATGTCCTTACTAGCGCTCTGATCATGAAGGAACACTGTATACATGTGCTGCTGATGTCACTGCTCCTGGAGTTGATGAAAAGATAGAACAAAGATGATCATAGAAATACAAACACCACCTGAGTCAGAGTCTTAAAAGGAGAGAATGAAAAGCAGAACAACATCAGTAGAAGGGTTAAATAAACCTAATTTGAGACAGCAG